GGTGCTCCAAACTTGAGAATCTTGATGGACAAATTGAATTACCTGCCTCAATAAAATTAGTTCTCTTAGCTGCATTAGCTCTGGTAACACTAGTGAAACCAGCAGTGTTGATGGTGGGAGAATAATGAGCAGAGACACTAGATGAACCTCTTGATAAACCAGCAAGACCTTGAGTGGCAAAGCCAAATATGCCTGGTTTTCCAGCAGCTTCAGATGTAGGTTGCTGTGTTATAGTATCAGCTTGAGTCTGTGCACGTTTCTGTGCATGTTCTATACTTGAGCTTTCAGTAACCACAGAGGAGTGAGGTAACTGGATATCAACATCAATAGCATCTTTAGCACTTGAGTTTAAACTCCTGTCAACAACCTTATGCTGGGGACTTTTTGCTTTTGTATTTGTGTTCTCAGAATGCTCATTTTGCCTGTTAACAGGAACCCAGATTTTCTTCTTATTCTTTCTACATTGATCAGTTTCATGGCCAAGTTTGTTACATGATGTGCACCACCTTGGCTTGAACTCATATACCACTTCCTGTGCATAACTTCTACCATCAGGATCCTGGATGATTACTTGATCAGGTAAGGCATCTTTCAAGGGCAAATTTACTTCTATCAAGACTCTTGCGTAGCTTAACCTTTGTCTAGTAGCAGTAAGTTTATCAGTAGATATAGGTTTACCAATGAGGCTGGCAACCTTACTGATTCCAATTGAACTCCAGAGGTTAAGTTTCAGATTAGGGAATTGCACCCAAAGTGGATAGGAGAAGTCTTGGATTTTATCCAAATCAGTATCAATATTCCAGATCTTCAGCATCAGAGGCCTAGAGCCAAAAAACCAGGGGCCAGCATCTAGTATTTCCTTCATCTGCTTCTCAGTTTGGAAATCAAAGAGGAATACACCATTCTTGATTAAAGACACTTTAGGAATAGAATAATTTCCCCATATCTTACTCACATATGTTTCCATTGATTTAAATTTAACATTTAAACCAATAACATGTCCTATTAAGGCATTTCTCCATAGATCTTCCCCTTCTTTCCATTCATCAGTAGTAAAAGAGGCAGTTTTTGATTGAGAGGATGGTATATAACTCAGGGACAGGCCATTACCTGATTTCCTGTTATCAGCAAACAGGCTCGCAAAGGTTTTACTAGGATTTGGATCTGATTTTTCCAAATTTTCAACATTGCCAGTAATTTTATCCCCTTCTCCAGGTTTCAGCTTACCAGAAATCTCCTGATCAGGAGATTTAGTACTCACATTAGCTAATTCATCTGAATCCATAGATTTAACCAATGGAACAGTAAGATGGCCATTTTGCCTGTTAACAGGGACCCAGATTTTTTTCTTATTCCTTCTGCATTGATCAGTTTCATGACCAAGTTTGTTACATGATGTGCACCACCTTGGCTTGAACTCATATACCACTTCCTGTGCATAACTTCTACCATCAGGATCCTGGATGATTACTTGATCAGGTAAGGCATCTTTCAAGGGCAAATTTACTTCTATCAAGACTCTTGCGTAGCTTAACCTTTGTCTAGTAGCAGTAAGTTTATCAGTAGATATAGGTTTACCAATGAGGCTGGTAACCTTGCTGATTCCAATTGAACTCCAGAGGTTAAGTTTCAGATTAGGGAATTGCACCGAAAGTGGATAGGAAAAGTCTTGGATCTTATCCAAATCAGTATCAATAGTCCAGATCTTCAGCATCAGAGGCCTAGAGCCAAAAAACCAGGGGCCAGCATCTAGTATTTCCTTCATCTGCTTCTCAGTTTGGAAATCAAAGAGGAATACACCATTCTTGATTAAAGACACTTTAGGAATAGAATAGTTTCCCCAAATCTTACTCACATATGTTTCCATTGATTTAAATTTAACATTCAAACCAATAACATGTCCTATTAAGGCATTTCTCCATAGATCTTCCCCTTCTTTCCATTCATCAGTAGTAAAAGAGGCAGTTTTTGATTGAGAGGATGGTATATAACTCAGGGACAGGCCATTACCTGATTTCCTGTTATCAGCAAACAGGCTCGCAAAGGTTTTACTAGGATTTGGATCTGATTTTTCCAAATTTTCAACATTGCCAGTAATTTTATCCCCTTCTCCAGGTTTCAGCTTACCAGAAATCTCCTGATCAGGAGATTTAGTACTCACATTAGCTAATTCATCTGAATCCATAGATTTAACCAATGGAACAGTAAGAGTATCAGAATCAACTCTAGAAATCTCCTGATCAGGATTAAGATCATTTGAGGATTTAGGTTTTTGAGTCTGATAAGAAGAAGAAATAGAGGGAAAAACCTCCGATTCAACCTCATCAGCCCAGGAAGTCCTAGATGAGCTGCCGGCACCATCACTGAGATATCGAGCTTGAGTTCCTTTCCTTTGTAGAGAAGCTATGGATCGACTAGAACCAAGTAAGAAATCTGAAGATCGAAGGATATCCTCCATGGATTTCTTAAGTTTTTCACCTTTTGGACCTGTCGAGCCCATTATATCTTCACAGAGTTCATCATCTTCCTCAAAATTAGTTTCGAATTGATCCTCAAGAGCTTGAGAACAAGAGGTTAAGGACCGTAGACCAATGCTGAGCAGCTTTCTTCCACTCTTATTCTTCTTCTTCGCCATTAGAAACCTAGCGGGGGCGCACGATAGAGGAGAGGAGATCGCCTTCTATCTTGCGCCTTCAGACATCCCGCCCTTTGTAGAGAAGCTCGAAAACTTTTCTAGATGATAAAAGAGAGAGAGATGGATTGAAGCTCAATGAATTGATCTCCTCTTCCTCTTATGAAATTCTTCACAAACCGAACCCTTAAACAAACTTAAAACCAAACTTAAACTCTTTTAAAACTTTAATTGTGAAAGAACGTGGTTTCTTCATGAATTTATTCTTTGCGTAAAATAGCCAAAATGTTTTTTTCCCTTTTTTTATCTTGCTCAGCTTTCATCTCAAGAACAGACAATGCACACTACATTTACTTATGCTTATTTTTTATATGCTATAGTCAAACTTGAGAATTATATACAGTCATTCTTTATATATACACTTTCTTGTTTTTAAAGACCAGCGCAAGGATAGTCCTTGCAAATCGATCGCTTGAAAAGCACAACTAAGTTTTGAAGGAAAAGAAACGAGTTTTGGTTGTCCCCATAGTAAACAACGCAGCGAGTGGAAGTGCTGATGTGTTGAACAAGGTACACAATTTTTTTTGAAGGAATCCAAAAATTAAGTTCTGTGTTATAGCTCCACACAGTAACATTGAGCATGCCCCAATGCATAGAATCTATCATATTATGAATGCAAACAAGATTTGAAAATTACAATGTCACGGCTACTCCATTTGTGTACCACTACTGGTGATTAATGAAAAACAATCTAATGATGCTCCCTTACCACCTATGATGCGTGGTAAACATATACCAAAAATTACAATTGCACAACCAATCTAGTTATAGTATAAAAAGTTATCGATCCCACGAGGAAGGTGTTTTGTAGGAGAAATTAAAATTGGTTCTTATGTTTTGTGCGAGACAAATAGGAGTGATGGGTGAATGTGATTGTGGAGAGATAGTGAATGTGATATTGTGTAAATAGGCACCAAATATAAGTGAGAATGGATGTGACAGAGAATGAATGATTTTCACAATGAGAGAAAGAAAGATGAATAAAATCAATAAACAAAAAGAAAAATCAAGAATAAAAATAAATTTCAAGAAAATAAAGATGGAGGGTTCAAATAAAGATATGAGAAATCTAAAATTGAATCCACTTCTTAGAAAATACAATTCCATAGAGGATTCTAGCCTCAAGGCAAATCAAAGAAAATGAAAATGAACAAAAGAAAAAAATAATCCCATGAGGGTTCTACCGTCAAGGTGAATAGTACAATAAAATAAAATCTAACTACAAAATAAATTACTGGAATTAAATACGAGAAAATAAATCTACTCTTTAAGCATGAAATAAATCTAAGATAAGAGGGTTCTAATCTCTTGGATATTTAAGCAAGAAAATAAAATCTAACTACAAGCATGGAAATAAATCTAAACTAATAAGCAATAAGAAAAGAAATAAAAGAGAAAATAAAAGAAAACATTCAAATTGATCTTCATCTTCATCTTCATTATCTAATAAAGAGAAGAAAATAAAAATATGAAGTGGTGAAAAAAATTCTTTTATTAATTGTAACAAAAAGTTGTAAATTTGGATGGTTTTCTCAATTAAGAATAACCCTACTCTCTAAATGGAGATACAAAAATTTTCACACCTCTAACCCCTCACTCTCTACTCCTATTTATAGTAAACATCAGTGAATATGAGCCATTAGATCGAAATCTTATCCAAAAACCTTGAATTTTAGCCTTAGAATCGAAATAGACTGACAATGGCATCGATACCAGCATGGATGCTGGCGTCGATACGAGCATTGATGCTAGCAACGATATTCATTGTTTCCAAATTTTGACTTCACAGGTGGCTTTGTCTCGTCGAGATAGGCGATTTTCATATATTATATATTAAATTCCGCCATCCGGATTGAAAGATGTCGTCGCTTCTTTGCTGCTAACCATCTTGAATATAATTTATTTTTCATATTGGATTTTTTATTTTCTCCGGCTTTTATAGGCTACTCGGCTTGACTCTGGGCTTAATTAAAAGGTTACAAATGAGGAAGTTGGAGTCTTTTAGGCTTTTATTCATTATTTCTTCATTAACCTGAAATTTAAGATAGCAATAATTATTAGTGATATATTTATTCATATAAAATAGATAATGATGGTATAAAATTACAATAAAAATGTGATTATCAACCTACAATTGTCAATGCTAGTGATGATATAGGTGATGAGAGAACGATTGATCCTTTCACAAGCTTTGTTCTAGATGTGATGCTACCTATTTTTGTAAAAGAATTTTATGATCTGAAACCAGGGTCCTTTTTGAGCAAGACCTTGATAATTTTATCAAATTGATGGAGAATAACATTACATTATGTGGAACGCTTCAAATGTCAGCATTCGTTCTCAGGGTTTTTTCCATAATCATATATGGCGCTGGCATCCTCTTCTCAAGAGAAGCATCTCTGATTCCTCAACTAATGCAAAGATTGATCTTATGAATCATATTGGCTTATACATTGCTACTAATAATGTTGACATACCCACCTGGTCCCTTACATCCAATGGGAGATTCTCAGTCAAATCTCATTATTCTTTCCTTAACACCAGAGGAATTTTATCTGCTTATTATAAAACTGTTTGGAATCCAGTAATGCCAAGTAAATTCCAATTCTTCACATGGCTTCTATCCAGAAACAGGTTGCATACAAAAGAAAATCTTATAAAGAAGGGATGGCAAGGAGACTCTACATGCATTTTATGTGGTTTATTTTTGGAATCTTGTGAACACTTGTTTTTTGAGTGTAGTCTTACCAAATCCGTATGGAAACATTTCTGTGACTCTTACCTCCCTTTCATATGGCCAGCATCTTTATATGAACTCCTTAAGGTTGTTGAATCCCTTCGCCACTCTGATGGGATTTTATGGCGATCAATTTTCTCTGCAGTGTGTTGGAGCTTATGGACAACAAGAAATAAATCTATTTTTGAAAATTCAGTATTCTCTGCTACTTCTATCATCAACTCAGCAATTTCTAATTTACATGAATGGTCAGGTCCTGGAAGAGGGAAGAAGGCACTAAAGCTAGCAGCGGTGTTAGAAGAAAGACCAATCTTGCGGAGCAACAGTATTTAGCTCGTCATATCAGCTTTCTCTTAGCTTTCTATAATGTCTTCTGTACATATCAACATTATGATGTTTAAGTGTTAGTTTCAATTAGTCTATAGAAAATCTAATTTCTCTTGTCCAAATGTATGGCTGGCTTTGGTTCTCACTTATATCCATGTCAACGGTGAATGACGGCAAGGCCCTCTCTTCATCTTCATGGATGTTTGTAAGAAGAAGGTCCTACATCCCTAGTAAGAGAAACTATTTTTTCTATCCACTAATCTTATTGGATACACTTCGTATCCTACTTTTGTAAACATACTTTTGTTTTTTAATGAACAGGGAATATCCCTTGTTTTTCTCTCAAAAAAAAACATTATGTGGAACGCTTGGTAACTGGTGTGTCGAATTAACGAAAGCATTTTAAAATTCATTATAGTTGCTACAAACTATTGTGGATTTAGCAAGAGTTGATTTCTAAGCTTAAAAACACCAATACTATATCCTCTAGAATTTTCAAAATCATTAGAATGTCTTATTTCTTATCTACACAAATCCTTACCTGCCTATAAATTGGCTCTTGTCATAATCAATCATGCAAGGATGATCTGAATCAAAAAATTTTTAAGTGGACAAGAAAGATTCACATTTTAGAGAAGAAGATTGAGTTGTGTTAAAACCATGGTGAAAGAAATTTATGCGGTAGAAGCACATTTGAGGAAGGCCTTCGATAAAAACATTTTTTTTTGCAATTGCTTTATCAGGCACAATAAAAATCTCCTAATATACAACTTTAGGCTCAATATGAAGCATGTTTGACCATCTTTAAACTCTTGTAACCTATGTAATGTCCTTTTAGAAATAAGACTTTTTAATATCATATAAACCTTATTTTATATTTACTATTAGAAGTTTAATCCCATAGTAAACGGATATTTTAATACAAATGATGCTTTACTACTTCATGCTTGCAATTGTTATAATCATCTTTTGATAAAGATGAAATTAGAACTGGCTACATAAGAAAACTTTTTTTAGCTGAACTCTGATGGATAAGCCTATAAGGCATCAAATTTACTTATAGTTTATCCTATTAGAGTTTGGTGGCTATTGTAGGTTTTTTGTGTGGGATGATACAGAAGCACAGATGCTAATTTTTATTCTTGGTCTACCATAGCTTACACATGTGTCTTTACTTGTTTCTGTCATAACCTTGCCTAGAAGACTTCAAATGACTCCTTTTTCAAAATGATAGATTGTATTACGAGTCTAGTTTTGTTTAAAAGAAACTGTATTTGAATTAAGATCCCCATAAAAGGTATCACTACAATAAAAAAGAATGGTGTGCCCTAGTTCCAAAATGTAATAACTTAAAACGTGACTCGGTCGATAATACAGCCATTCGATCACATTCATGCCTCTAGATCATCCTGTATATCGATATAAAACCAAAACTACACTATAGAGCATGCAACTAAAATAATAAAAAATATATATAGACGAAAAAAATCTCCAAAAAAGGACAGAGTTCAAATACGAGTTACACA